AATCATAAGCTGACAGTTAAACAGCTGAGCAAGCATCTTTTAAACTTTAGAGCTGTAGTGTCGGCGAGGCAGTGGCACAGTAGGTAGTGCTGTCACCTCACAGCAAGAAGGTCGCTGGGTAGCTGGTTCGAACCTTGGCTCAGTTGGCGTTTCTGTGTGGAGTTTGCATGTTCTCCCTGCCTTTGCGTGGGTTTGCTCTGGTTTCCCCCACAGTCCATATACACATGCGGTACAGGTGAATTGGGTAGGCTAAATTGTCCGTAGTGTATGAGTGTGTGTGGATGTTTCCCAAAGATGGGTTGTAGCTGGAAGGGCATCAGCTGCGTAAAAACTTGCTGGATAAGTTGGCAGTTCATTCCGCTGTGGCGACCCCGGATTAATAAAGGGACTAAGCCGACAAGAAAATGAATGAATAACTGAATCTGTAGTGTCTGATTTTTGCTGGCTGTATGTGGGCGGAGTAATACACAAAGGGTAAAGAGGCTATACAGGTGCTGATATTACTTAAAATATTACAGTTATCAGCTAATCAGATATATATATATATATATATATATATACACACACACACACACATTGCAATATCGCCTAGCCCTAATTTAATCATAAGCTTGGCAAGCAATTTTAGCCAACTTGATGTTTCCTCAATTAAACAGAAAGCCCGAGAAGCGCTTCATAGATGGCCGCCGAGTGAATTGACTTGCCTTAAAGAGACTTTGCTTAAACTTTATATATAATTAGCTCACAAAACATAAAAACATTTGTTTCCATAACTTTTTTTCATATAATTTTTCCAAGTGTGCATTCATGTAGTCAATCTCTGTCCATAAGGCTGTAAAAGATCAAGTCAGGTAAATGTAGAGCATGTCCTGAAAGACGATCTGCTGCTTTTGTACATGTGCTGAAACACAAAGCAGCTTAATGAACTCTCCATCAATAAATTAGCGGCTCATGGATGCCATGGATCGAGTTCCTGCATGACATTTTTTTTATATAAAGCCTCAATTATCCATCCGCGGGCGTCAGGATCTCCACATGGCTTGCCGACTCACGCCCTACAAACTAGTTCTCGGGTTTCAAGCTTCCACAAAAAGTCCATCAGCCGAGTGCTCTGGAAGCTGTGTGCTTTAAATGAGAAGGCTGTTCAATAATTCACCTGCCCATGTATCACATTGCTCTCAATTATACGGAGACCTAGAAAATGGGCAGCTGTTTTGTCCTGGAGGAGATGGCGATGGTCTGCTGTTCATACTTGTTGTTAAGATGCGCCTTGCACAGATGTCAGAGAAATGCTAGAATGCTATACTACACTTTTAATCAATTATTAATGGGATTTTGTTTGATGTTTAGATAAATTGACACTAGTGAGCTGAAGAACGAGACGCTAGCAATTTATATGGGGTGAATTTAAACAAGTGTAGTAATGTTCAGGGCAATTAGTGTTTAAATTCAGCCCATAGAAATTGTTTACAATCACTTATCTTCATTTTTTTTTTGTAAATCCTATGATTCTTTTTTTCAGTGTACATTTATCTAAACATACTTCAAACATTTTAGGTAATTAAAAAACTATTTAGATAATTATTTATGACTTATTACAGAGATTACAGGGAGTATGACAATATTTTGACAATAACAATATTGTCTTTTTTATTTAGATCAGAATAAGTATATGTTGTAATACTGTAAAATTGTTTTAAATATTTATAATTATTTGACTTATTAAGGTTGACACTTTACTTGCATATGATAAACACACACGCATAAATAATTTTGTACATTTATTTTAATGCAGACAGCAAAATCTCATCTTTGAGACAGATATAAAATAATGCAAAATATAAACCCTTGAAATACAAAATAAGTGTCTTGTATTGATAAACTACTAAAGTACTGCAAATAATAAATAAACAAACAAACAAATGAATAAATAAATAAACAATCAAACAAATGAATAAATAAATAATTAATCAGGTAAATAAATAAATAATCAAATAAATAAATAATTGAATAAATAATCAATCAAATAAATAAACAAATAATCAAATAAATAAATAAATAAATAATCAAATATATAAATTAATAATCAAATAAATAAATAAATAAATAAATAAATAATCAAACAAATGAGTAAATAAATAAATAATCAGATAAATAAATAATCAAATAAATAAATAAATAATCAAATATATAAATTAATAATCAAATAAATAAACTAATAATCAAATAAATAATCAAGCAAACAAATTAATAAATAATCAGATAAACAAACGAATAATCAAATAAATAAATAATCAAATAAATAAATAAATAATCAAATAAATAAAAAAATAATCAATCAAATAAATAAAAAAGCAAATAAATTAATAAGCAAATAAGTAAATAAATAAAAAATCTAATAAATAAATAAATAATCGAATAAATAAATAATCCAATACATAAATAATCAAACAAATAGTTAATCAAATAAATAAATAAATACATAAATAAATAGGTAAATAAATAAATAATCAAAAAAATAAATAATCAAATACATAAATAATCAAATAAATAAATAATCAAATAAATAAATAAATAAATAAATAATCAAATAAATAAATAAATGCACTTTTGAAAAATGCTGGGTTGTATGAACCCAGTGTTCAAATATCACAAATCCAACATTTGGTTAATTTTTTTGCATCAAATTTAAATGAATTTGTCTATATTTGACTCAGTGTTGGGTTCAACCTTGTTATTAGCAAAGTTTTTAGGTCATTCATTAATTTTCCTTTGGCTCAGTCCCTTTATTCATCAGGGATTGCCACAGCTGAATGAAACGCCAACTATTCCAGCATATGTTTTACACAGCGGATGCTCTTCCAGCTGCAACCCATTACTGGGAAACACCCATACACACTCATTCACACATACACTCATACATTATGGCGAATTTAGTTTATCCATTCCCCTACAGCACATGTGTTTGGACTGTGGGGGAAACCAAAGGATACCCATGCCAACATGCAAACTCCACACAGAAATGCCAACTGACCCAGCCGGGACTCAAACCAACGACCTTCTTGCTGTGAGGCAACTGCGTCGCCAGTGTAATAATTATGATAATATTAATGATTATGATAAATGATCTTTCACAGATCTTTGACAGACGCTGTGAAACATGTCCAGACACTCGCTCTGTGTTGAGTTTCAGTGATGCAGCGTTTAACAGCGTCTGTTTCTCCTGTGTGCTGCTGCTCTGTGTGTTTCACTGTCACCTGAGGAACTCTTTTACCTCTTCATACACACCACCTGCCCAGTGTCCCAACGGTCCTGATCTGCCTGATAACATGTGCTTTGCTTCTGTGCTTATCATCTGTGTGTGTGTGTGTGTGTGTGTGTGTGTGTGTGTCTCTAATTCATTCTTACAATAAATGACAAGGCAGCACGGTGGCTCAGTGGTTAGCACTGTGGCTTCACAGGAGGAAGGTCGCTGCATGGTTCGAGTGCCGGCTGGGTCAGTTGGTGTTTCTGTGAGGAGTTTGTATGTTCTCCCTGTGTTGGCGTGGGTTTACTCCGCGTGCTCCGGTTTCCCCCACAGTCCAAACACATGCTCTATAGGGGAATTGATTAGCTAAATTGGCCGTAGTGTATGAGTGTGTGTGTGTGTGTGTGTGTGTGAGTGAAGGAGTGTGTATGGGTGTTTCCCAGTACTCGGTTGCAGCTGGAAGGGCACTTGCTGCGTAAAACATATGCTGGAATAGTTAACGGTTAGTTGTGTGGGTCTCTGTGTGTGTTTGTGTTTCTTTCACTTCTTGTGTGTCTTTGTCTGTGTATGTCTCTGTGTGTCCCTCTGTCTCTGTGTGTCTGAGTGTGTGTGTGTGTGTGTGTGTGTGTGTGTGTGTGTGTGTGTGTGTGTATGTATGTGTGTCTGTGTGTGTGTGTATGTGTGTCTGTGTGTGTGTGTGTGTATGTATGTGTGTCAGTGTCTTTGTGTGTCTCTGTGCGTGTCCCTTTGTGTTTGTGCTCGTGTCTCTGTTTGTGTGTATGTGTGTGTCTCTTTGTGTGTGTGTGTGTGTGTGTGTGTATGTCTGTGTACCTTTGCGTGTGTGTGTGTGTGTGTGTCTGTGTACGTCTGTGTACCTTTGCATATGTGTGTGTGTGTGTGTGTGTCTTCTCTCTCTCTCTCTCTGTGTGTGTGTGTGAGTGTGTGTGTCTCTTTTCTCTCTCTGTGTGTGTGTGTGTGTGTGCATGTCTGTTTCTGTTTGTGAGTGTTTCTATGCGTGTGTTTCTGTGTGTGTGTGTGTGTCTCTCTGTGTCTGTGTGTGTCTTTGTGTGTCTGTGCCTGTGTTTGTCTCTCTCTCTGTGTCTGTATGTGTGTGTCTGTGTCTATGTGTGTGCATGTTTGTGTGTGTCTCTCTCTCTCTGTCTGTATATGTGTGCATGTGTCTGTGTGTGTGCGTGTCTCTCTGTGTGTTTGTGTGTGTATCTGTGTGTGTGCGTCTCTCTCTCTCTCTGTCTGTATATGTGTGTGTGTGTCTGTTTGTGTCTCTCTATCAGTGTGTGCCTGTGTTTGTCTCTCTCTCTGTCTGTATAAATGTGTGCGTGTGTGTGTTTGTGTCTGTGTGTGCAAGTGTGTGTCTCTGTTTGTGTGTGTCTCTCTCTCTGTGTGTGTGTGTGTGTGTGTGTGTGTGTGTGTGTGTGTGTGTGTGAAACCATTATTAGAAATGACCTTTGCTTTATTCCTGCTTTCCATAAGAGATACAGTCAGAAAATACCCGACATTGTGCCACACTGTTTTTTTTACTCTGTCACACACACACACACACACACACACACACACACACACACTGAAAGAACAACTGTATGAAATGTCTAGAGTCCCCGAACAAAGGCTCTCAGATGCCCGTTGTGCGCCGTCCAGCTGTTGTTGAGCGCGTGTGATGGGCGTGGCCAGCGCGCCTAACACGCCCCCTCTGCCAGCTGGGCGTGGCTTCACCGGCCGTTTTTAGGAATGGGTCACACGCACTTTTCAGAAGTCACGTCAGTCTGGAAAGAGGAGCTCGACCCACCTGATGATCCTTGGCTCAATCCGCTCCACTTTATTCACCGCATTAATCTACCTCTGACAGCAAACCCATATTTTAGAGTATTTTAAAAGAGTGGCGCGGTCACTGTCAAGCCTAAATTGCACTATCATTTTTATTATTATTTGTTTTTGCACTTGAGCGTTTCGTGAGGATGCATACCACGCAAAAGGACACCACTTACACCAAGATATTTGTCGGCGGTCTTCCGTATCATACGACGGATTCCAGCCTGAGGAAATATTTTGAAGTGTTTGGGGAGATTGAAGAAGCTGTGGTGATTACCGACAGACAGACTGGAAAGTCCAGGGGTTATGGATTTGTAAGTATTCCTCTTGTGGAGTTGTGTAAACTTTGAGAAGTCTGTGTGACAGCGTGACACAACACATTTAAATGGCAACTCCAGTGTTTTATAGGCAAACGCAGTGTGTGCGCGCGCGTGCTCGACGCTTTGTTTACTTCTTTAATAGTTTTAAACTGTTGTACTTATAGTATGTTACGTGCCTTATTGCTTTTTCTGAGCAATATTGAAACCTATGCTGTGAAAAGCAGAGCCCAAATTAAAGTGAAAGTTTATTTAATCCTTATGCACTTCATAACTTGTCTGCTTTCCTCCCCAATAACACCCATTTAAACATTTTAGAAGCAGGATAGATATACCTATGACTTAGGAAATAAGCTTTTGTTCATGAAAAACTTATTTTAGTTAAAAAATGAAGCTTGCTTTAAGTATAAGCACATTATATTTGTTGGAAAATGAGAATATCTGAAGTAATTTCACTCTATCAATCAAAATAAAAATATCCAACATTTACTTGATAAGCAAAATTACTTAAAACAACAAAAGAAATGAGTATTTTATTCAAAAAAAGTCTTGTTTTTAGCATAAACTCTTTAAAAAAAGGGAATATCTGAGGTGAATTCACTCTAAAACTCCAAACATTTACTTGAGAAGCACAATGACTTCAGATATTCCTGTTTTTCTAATTTCTTAAGTAATTCACTATAAAAAAATTCAAATGAAAAAAAATCCAACATTTACTTTAAGCTAAATGACTTGATGTCTTAAAACTAAGCATTGTCTTATAAAAAAACTTATTTAAAATGGCATGAAATGAAAAATAGTCTGGTTTTAAGCATAAGTCAATGCATATTTGGCAGAAAAGAATTATATCTGAAGTAATTTCACTCTATCAATCAAAATAAAAACATCCAAAATTTACTTTAGATGCAAAATGACTTAAAACAACATAAGAAATTAGTATTTTATTCAAAAAGAGTCTTGTTTTCAGCATAAACTCTGAAAACAGGAATATCTGAGTTGAATTCGCTCTAAAATTTGAACTTTAAACATTTACTTGAGACGCACAATGACTTAAGAAATTAGAAAAACAGCAATATCTGAAGTAATTCATTATAAAAATAAAAATCCAACATGACTTGATGTCTTAAAAATAAGTATTGTCTTATGAAAAGACTTATTTAAAATAGCTTGTAATGAAAAATAGTCTAAAAATCCAAATTGCAAAAAATCCAACATTTACTTGTAGCTAAATGACTTAAAATGACTTAAATGGCTTAAAATAAGTATTGTTGTGTGCTAAACTGATTTTACAAAATGAGTAAAAAAACATAGTCTGGTTTTAAGCATGAACTCGCTAATATGTCAAAACAAGAAAATCTGATTTAAATTCACTTTAAAATCCAAATTGAAAAAAAAAATCCAACATTTACTTGAGAAGCTGAATGAGTTAAAATGACTTAAGAAATAAGTATTGCTTTATGAGGAACTGATTTTAAATAAAAATGAAGCTTGTTTTAAGCATGAACTCACTTATATTTGTCAGAAAACAAGAATATCTAAAGTAAATTCACTCTAAAAAAATCCAACATTTACTTGAGAAGCTGAATGACTTAAAATAAGTATTGTTGTATGATGAATTGACTTAAAACAAGACTCATTTTTATTTATCCCTTTTTAAAGCATAAACTCGCTTATATTTTTCAGAAAACAACTATATCTAAAGTTATATTACTCGAAAAAATCTAAGATTTGGGTTTTAAAAAGTGTATTTACATTTGATAAAAAAAAAAAAACAACAACAACATTGGGTTTCTCCCTACACTGGATTGACATATCCCACTATTGTTCAATTTTGTACTAGTTTAGATTGATTTAATCCTCGTGCACTTCAAAGTTTGTCCTTTCATCTGAATAACATATATTTAAGCATTCTAAAATCAAGAGAAATTTAAATGAAGCAAAATAACTTTAGAAATTAGGATTGTTTATTGTTTTTATTAGTATTATTTGTTGTAACTTATTTTACAAAAGGAAGGAATAAAAATGAGTCTTGCATGATCTCACTTATGTTTTTCAGAAAGCAAGACTTAATATCTGAAGTCATTTCACTTTAATAAAATGTTCTGTATTAATCCTACAGCAGGTTCAGGACAAATTCTACCTTTGAGTTAAATATAAATATATATATATATAATTGCATCGAAAAAAAAAATAAAAAAAATTAACTTAACATTGTTTCCATATTCGACCCAGCGTTGGTTTGACAGAACCCAGCATTGTTTTAGAGTGTCTGCTTCTTATTTACTGACAGATATTGAAGTCTGTACTTTAATAACATACTAAAGTATTGAAGTGAACAGAGACTGTCAACTCTTTCACAGATCATATTAGGATCCACATGTGAATGATCATTTTTGGATCTTTTTAAATCTAAAACACTATTTAAATTCAGTCTGCATGTTGCTATTAAGAATATCACTGATCTCATGGCACTGAACTGAAGACTTAAACAGACCCTTGTTGGCTCAGCTGTGGAGTTTGACTAGAAGCTCCCTGATAAGAGTCCTTCAGAGGCTGAGTAAACAAGCCGACTTGTAAAGTTTTGACAGCAGAAGTTAAAGACACCCAAGCGGATTTCACAACATCATGGAGATATCCAAAATAAAGCTGCACTGACCTCTGTGTTTAATGATTTTTACTTCTTGAATACACACTATTTAGTGTTTAATGTCTTATTTGGGACAGAGGGCATGTGCTTAAAATTATATTTTATCCAAAAATGAATCTCGCCTATCACATAATGCAAACCTGTTGGAGATCCAAAAGAAGATATTTTGAAAAATGTTAACCATCGACTTCCATGGTGATTGTTTTTCCTATTATGGATGTCAGTGGCTTCTTGTTACAAACTCGAATATGGAGGAACTCAACACTGGGTTAAATTTTTCAATTAAATTATAACAACACTTTTTAACCCAACAGCTGGGTTTGTTCATGTTTGAGCCAACTTTACGTTAAATCAACCCAGCATTGTTTTTAGAGTGAAACATTCTTCAAAATATCTTCGATTGTGTTGTAGCAGAAACAATTATACATTATAAACAGTGCTGGGTTGTTGTAAACCAAAGCTGGGTCAATAATGGACAACCCTAACTGTTGATAAATATAATAAAGAACGTGATTTACATTTTTTTTTTTTTACAATTTAATAAAATATAAAAATGCATCAATTATTGGGTTCATATCTGACCCAACTCTTGTAACAGAAACAAAGAAACCTGCTGGGTTGTTGTTACTTAACGCCGGGTCAATAATAGACAAACCCAGCTGTTGAAATATTTTTAATCAAAATAAAATTAATAATTAAAACACTTGCACAATTACAAAATTAAAAAATAAACCCATCATTAGATTTGTCAATTTTTTGACCCAACAAATGGGTTCAAACATCCCAGCATTGTATTTTTGTTGTTGTTTTTTTCCAAATATGTCCTATTGTGTTCAACAGCTAAAAGAAACTTGAACATTAAAGAAATGCTGGGTTGTTGTAATCTAGTGCTGGGTCAATAATGGACAAACACAACTGCTGAAAAATGTATTTAAAATAAATTTAATTTAAAAAAAATTAAAAACTGAGCAATCACTGGGTGTGTCCATGTTTAAACCAATGTTGGGTTACAAAAACACAGCATTGTTTTTAAAGGGTAACATTCTTCAAAATATCTCCTATTGCGCAACTGCTGAAAAAATGTGATTAAAATAAATTAATAATTAAAACACTTGTACAATTACTAAATCAAAAATTGAACCTATCATTGGGTTTGTCCATGTTTGACCCAACAAATGGGTTAAAACAACCCAGCATTGTTTTTTTTTTTTTTTTTTTTTTTTTTCAAATATGTCCTATTGTGTTCAACAGCAAAAAAAAATACTCATACATTAAAATAATGCTGGGTTGTTGTAACCCTGTGCTGGATCATTAATGGACAAACATTGTTGCTCTTATAGTTGTGTAAATTGCTTCCTTGTCCTCATTTGTAAGTCGCTTTGGATAAAAGCGTCTGCTAAATGACTAAATGTAAATGCAAACACAACTGCTGAAAAAATGTAATTAAAATAAATTAATAATTAAAACACTTGCACAATTACTAAATCAAAAAGTGAACCCATCATTGGTTTTGTCCATGTTTGACCCAACAAATGGGTTAAAACTACCCAGCATTGTTTGTTTTTTTTTCAAATATGTCCTATTGTGTTCAACAGCAAAAAGAAACTTGCACATTAAAGAAATGCTGGGTTGTTGTAATCTAGTGCTGGGTCAATAATGGACAAACACAACTGCTGAAAAAATGTAATAAAAAATAAATTTTAATAAAAAAAAACCTCTAAAAACTGAGCAATCACTGGGTTTGTCTATGTTTGACCCAGCGTTGGGTTACAAAAACACAGCATTGTTTTTAGAGGATAACATTCTTCAAAATATCTTCTTTTGTGTTGTAACAAAAAGAAAAGAAACTCTCACACTCAAAAAAAAAAATAAATAAATAAATAAATAATGCTGGGTTGCTGCAACCCAATGCTGGATCAATAATGGATAAACCCAATTGCTAAAAAAATGTAATTAAAATAA